AATCTGTAATTTCTTTGCTGCACCGAAGCCCTTCTCTCTTATTTCCCCACAGCCTGTGTAGACTTTAAGAAGTTGGTAAAGCCAAATTATTTCCATTAAATCTATTGACTAAAATCCAGGGAGTGATTTTTGCGTTGGGACTATTTTCTCTTGTTTGGGGTTAGAATCTATTCATTTGCCTCGTGTTCACCCGAGTTGGAGGCTGTTGACCCTCTTTGTACCCAAGCCTGTTGTCCTAGTGAGGTTTTGGGAAAGGTAAGTGGATTGAATAAATATCAAATGTATGTTTTAACAATACTTGTAATTTGTGATAGGAAAAAATAATAGATGGATCCAGAAGTTTGCATATGAACTTACTGGCAATAGTTTTAGCTCAATTTTCAAAGCTTTTTTAATGTGTTTTGCTTTAAATTGATGTTTTTAAAAGTTGATTTTTTTTTTTTTTGTTGCATAATTCCTTTTGTACCTGAAGGAACTTCATCTAAGGGGCTGGGGGGATAAGTTCATTTACTGCACACTTCCCCTCACTGCTAACTCTGTGAAACAGTCTTGGAAAATGAAACCCTGCTCTGCTGGAACTCAGTCAAGTATTTCAGGAGCAGCGGGCAGAAGGCAGTGTCGTGTTGCCGAGGAGCAGTGAATGCTCTCACACATCTCGAGTGTCTGTCTGCCTGTGGCCCTCTGTTAGCTGGGGTGAGGCAGTTTCTCTGTTACTTGGAGATTTTTCCACTTAAAATTCTTACATGCTTTCAAATGAACACTTTTAAATTACAGTTTTATATACATGTACAGCTAAAAATACCAGCAGTTGAAATAGTCATTATGAAATAGAAGAATAGAGATCTCTGGAAGTGGAATTCCCATCGTTGTTGTGCAGTGTGGGCAGTGGCTGCACAGCTTCTCTTTTGTGGCTCAGTGTTTGTCAAGAATTCTCTTAGCAAGGCAAAAAGCTTTCATTTTCCTCAGTTTGCACTGAGCTGCTGTAGATAAAAGTTGTCACATGCAGAAAACTGTTTCACTGAAGGAGCTGAAGGGATAGAACCAACCAGCCAAAAATTTTGAAGTGACAACTGCAGTTTGAGATTAATTTTCATGACAGCTTCTTAAGAGCAATGTTTAGTGTTAAAGCTCATCTTAAGCATTTCCCTGAAGAGGAATTGATTTGGTTGGATTTGGGGAAAAAAAAAAAAAAACAACCAAACTCATCTGTAGTCAGATGAGTTTGGATTTTTTTTTAATAAAAAGTGTTTGCTGCCAGCATTCATAATGTTAATTTTATTTTGTGAAACGAAGTGCATACAATTCACCTCATATGCTAATTGGAGAATGTAACAATAATTTTGATAGCCTTGCTATTATTTTTTAGCAAGCTTAGCTTTTTTTTTAAAAGGTGAAGATGAATGAAGTGGTGACTGCCAGTCCTGTAGCCCTTGATCCCTGATAATGTCTTCATGGTGTGTTTTTGACTGAAGGTGACTTTTATGGTTTAAAGATTTAAAATTTATTTCATATTTTAAGCATATATTTTGGCAATTGCTGCCATTTATCTCCTCATTTGGTTGTCCCCTCTGATAAAGGAGTATTTTCCATGCATATCCTATACTGTTGTTTTATTTCTTGACACTAAAATGGCTTGTACTGCACAGATGACTTTGTAAGACTACAGCTCTCTTTCCAGAATTCTGGCAATAATTGTCCTATTGAAATTGAAACACTGCTTGTGTAAAGTATAACAGGCTTTTTTTGTTAGGGATGATGTCAGCATGAGAGATGGCCTCAAGGAGCCATTAAAAGAACATAGGACTTTTGACTGTTGGACTTTATTGACTTTTCCCCTCAGTAAAATACAGTTCTGCAGAAGATGGATCAGTGTCTGCAGTGCTATGAGATGTATTTGTTGACTTTACTGTGCAGTCTGATGAAGATGTATCTCAGTGCCATAAATACATAGGCACTCTCTCAAGAGTGTCAGAGAAATGCAGTAATAAGAGACGTAAAATTTTATAGAAATTCTTGCCTTTCTCTGAAAGTAATTGTCCTTTTTATGTGAAACTACTCACTTTGCCTTTTAGGACCCTTGAATTTTCAGTTCTGGTTTGTTTCTAACTCTTCCCTTAAGACATTTTGAAATGTATCTCCATCTACAAGCTTACATATTTATATGTGAAAATGCATGTAGATGGAGAATTTTATGTCCAGTCTTAAGATGAATTGAAGCTTTTAGTGAAATAAATAGGTGAATGGTAGAAATAAGAAGTGTTTGTTAGTTGCATTTTATATTTCTAGCCTCCTGACTGACATTCCTCGTGCCTTTATTCCATGCCAGGTCGTCCATCCCCAAGTTAGTTTACTCACAGACCCATTAGAATGGATGTATATATGAGATACTTTACTGATTGAGATGAAAGCCAGGGCAGAACATCCAGCAAAGTGACAGTACCACACAGCAGTCTTCCTCACTCATGGCCTCTGCGGGTGTGACTCTGATAGCCATCAACAGATTGTTGAGGGTCGTTATCAATGTAGTCCGTGTACATGGGATGCCTAAGCTGGGTGTGGAAGGACCACCTTGGACAGTGTAAATATATTCACAAGGCACTGTGCTGCCTTGCAGGGTTTTTCTAGCCTGACTCAGTCATTCCTAGGGGGCTTTGACGCTCTTCTGTCACCATTGTCACTGCTTATGACCATGCACGCTCTGCATTAGGTTTTATATTAACCTGTAGTTTTGCTTTGTCCTGGTTATCTGACCCTTCCTTCCCCTCCCTTTTATGAATAACTGAAGGTTGGCTATGGATTTTAGACTACAGACTATGGCATCTAGCATGGTATCTGAAACTCTTATAGTGAAATGGAGGAACTAATATTTATCATATTCTTGATTTACTGTCTGTTTTGTGAGAGGCTGTATGTGCAGCATAGTTTCTTGACAGGAGTCTTTTCTATTTTTCATATCTGCTTCTGTGCATAGTCTTCTGTCCATACTGCATGCCCCATGTTTTCCACGTAAAATTGGAAAAGAGAGAGAAATGGGTTTGAGGAGATGATAAATGTGTGTGAAGACCTTGAAGCCCTTACTGAGCAGTCTCTGGACCATGAGAAAATTGTGGTACTTTTAACTTGTAGAAGAAAGGAAATGTAAAGTTGCCCCATAGAAAACAGAGCCTTCTCTCTTGCTGAGAGCAGACATGTCTCTGTTCCACTGGCTCAGCCCTTGCTCTGGAGGTGGCAGCCTGCACTGTGTCCTGTACTGACGTTTATTTTTGAATACAACTTACCATGATGCAAGGACAAGCGTAACAACATTAGCAAGCTTTTAATTAAAAACAAGATAAAAAAATGTATTAAGTGACTTGACTTTCAAATTCAACATTTCAACTCGAGCCTGCAAAAGAATGTCTTCAAACTGTTTTGCAGACCTTTGCCATATTCATTGCTGTTTCTGTGTGGCAGCTGAGCTCCCCTCTGCAGAGCAAACCAGATCACTAAGAACAAGTTGCTCTAAGTTATGAACTGACAGCCAGGTTAGTTCTGCCCCTGTGGATGTGGCAAGTTATACTCAAGTCGTGAGCCATCAGTTGTCTTGAAGTGTTAATGGGAAAGTGAAGAGATGTCAAAGAAAATGAGGAATTGTTTCCTGATTGGGAGAGCCCATAGGAGGGAGGTATGTTGGTGTTTTTGGTTGGAGTATGTTCATGTACTGGTATTTATTCTCCATGGTACTGCATGTGAGAACTGAGAAAAGCAGATTCCTAGATAAAAATAGATTATGAAGAAATAAGAAGAGGTAAATTTTGGTTTTTATATGCTGGGAATCAAAGCAGCAAATCTGAACCATGTAATGATTTTAAGTGATTGTGTTGCAGTGAGACATTTACGAAACAAGCTTAGTCTCCTTTGTTTTAGTCAAGATGGTTGCATAATGATACAAGAAAATGGAATGCTTAAGTAACGAAGACTTTGATCTGATTCAATTCAAAGTAATGTCAACTTAGAAAATCCTGATGAAAGATTTTCTTTCACAAGTTGTTTTCTTACTTCTCCTTTTCTCAATTCTTTGTTAAGGCAAGACTTCAACTTATTTGTCAATGTGCTGATAACAGCTAATTTAAGGAAACTGCTGCCAAAGGAAGTCACTGCCCTCATATATTCACTAGAGACAGTTCGTGTAAGTCCTCCCCAAGTTAGCTTCAGGCAAAATTTGCAAGAGTAGTTTAAACAGCTTCAAAAATCATGTGAGCTAACTTGACGGTTTTTCTGCCTGATGTGAGTTGGGAAATGCTCACAGAAGCATTGCAGAATTAGTAGCTTACAGCCAAGGGGTGGTAGGGAGGACCCAAGAGAGGGGATAATTTTAAACCAGTAAAGTCACATCCCAGAGGGTGGGGATCTCCAAGGCTTTCAGGTGTCATTAAACTGTCTTTGTTACACTGTATAAAAGGCTAGACGTGAGGGTTTCATGCTATGATTTGACTTTTTTATTTTTAAATCAACAAGGAGTAGGTTTGGGTCAAACCCAAACAGCTTCTTTTAAACCAGTTTTATCAATGGAGAGGTGTAGGCTGCCATACCAGCTTTGTAGGTGTAGTCCAAAGGCTGCTTTCCTTGGAGATAAATACTGTGTCTATGTTCTGCATTAAAAAAGCAGAGGGGCCTGCATTGCAACTGGGCAATGAGGAACTGAGCTTCCCTGATTTAACCAGCCTTGGTGAACTGGAGACTCCAGTTCATTTACTCAATGATAAATCTTTTGCAAAGTTGCTTCTCCAACTTTCACTTAGTTTAGTTTGTTTGGCTTTAAGTTTTAGAGGTATTTGAAAGAGAAGCGTGATTATGCTGTTGGGTGAGTGCCAAGTTTAGTGAGGAAAGGGAATAAATTGCTAGAAGAGAGAAGACTGGGGGGCTGTCACTGGGAAGTGGGAAGTAGAGCACATGTAAAAACTTCTTTAACCGTTAACCGCATGTGAAGGGGTTAGAATTAATTCCTGTTTTCAGACACAGATAAACAGCTCCACTTTGCATCATCTCTGCTGTAGCAGTACATGAGTTGCAGTTTGTATTCTGTCTGTAATCTGTCCTGTTGTTTACTGGCCAGTCATAAGGCCCAGCTGGCAGGTCACCTGATTTCCGTCTGCCTCCCTTTTAAAGCTACTGAAAATCTGTCCCTGCTCATTTGAAAAGTGGTTTCATCTCACTTTGAAAATGTTTGCTTAGCTCCAATGTGTGCCATCCTTAAAATACCATGGTGTGTACAGAAGGACATACCATGCTTTGTACTGAGGTATGTATCCATAATGAGCAAAACTTGGGTATAAATCCCTGATCACATTCCTGTGTTTGCTACTCTGTTTTATTAGAAGTGTTTGTGAGTTAAGGAATAAAAGAAATAAAATAAAATAAAAAAAGGGCAGTTTCATGGTTGTTATTAACCAGCTAGTCCAAATCCCAGGTACTGCCAGAAGTCCTGATCTTGTTCTTCAGTACTTATAAAGCCACATTCTTGTCCTCTCCCTTATGTTGATGTTAGAGATTACTCAGCTGCAGCAGGAACTGGATCATGCCTCAGAAGGGCTGAAGACTATTTGTGGCTTTGTTTTTTTTCAGGATTTGTTCTCAGTAATGAGACCCAACTGGCAGTGTGGCTGCACAGGCGGGAGTGCTGGTGCAAGGGAGAGGATGGGAACACATGGCCAGTAAGGAATTGCTCCGTGGCTTTGAGTGGCTGACTGTGAAGCCAGGGTCTACATTGAATAATGAATAAACAATAGTTGATGTAACAGTTTGATCCATTTGGGCTACAGATTTTTCTGCTCTAGAGCCAACTAGAGGAAAAGCAACTGGAATTGTTAGAATATGAAAAGTTTTCAGTTCCTGCAGGGACTGAAGCTTGCCACTCTTGCCTGCTCTCCAGTAGCCACACAAGAACAGCTATGTAATGGTGTTCTGTAGTTGTCACTGTTTTTTTGTTTTTAATAAACAAACAATATTTTTCCTTGCAAAAGGAAAATGAAATCATTTTGCAGAGGAAGTGGCATTGTATTCCAAGGTGTTACTCTTGTTAGAATGTTTATCCTCTTCTTGCAGTACTCAGGTGGTTATGCTCTAGCAAGACATCACGCTTTCCTTGGAAATGTGCTTTCTTGTCACTGGTCATGCAGCAGCTTACATTATGGGCAGGACTTTAATATCTGTTTGTGTTTAGTCAGTCTTTTTTATGGTGGCATTTGCGAGGTTTTACTTCATATGTAAAAGAGAAAGCTAAACTACAGCAAATATGCATTAAAATCATGTGAAGAGAAAAAAGGGAAAGAGAATGGGAGTTGATGTTTAGAATCATCTGTTTTCATCTTTGATCCCAGGTGTGATTGAATTTTCTTACTTAGTATAAAGTTCTTACAGATTTTCTAGTCTTAAGAGCAAATGGTGAATGTTGCAGAGAATAGGCCAGGTAAGAGGGTTGTACTTATTTAATTTTTTTTTTTTTTTTTAATTCAGTGTGATGTGTTTTAACAGAAGAGAGTTGCTAAAAAACCCTAGTGTAGTTCAAGTAACTTGGAAGCCAGATTCTGCAAATCTCCCTTGTGTGACTGTTCTTAAAATGCTTCTGAGTTAGAAAACAAAAAAGCCAGCCAGGTTTCATGGGTAATCTGGGTGTTGAAGGGAAAAAAAAGGTAAAGACTTTGGCAATAGTTCTCACTTCATTAAACTTGCTTCAAGAAAGATATTTGTGGGAGTTCTTCAGAGGAGTGAGGGGTTTTCTTGTTTTTTTTTAAAAGCTTTTGCAAGGAGCTTTGTTATTTGTATTGAATGTTCCAAAATAAAAATGTAACCAGAGGAAATAGCATCTGTGAAACTTTGATTCACACGTGTGAAACTTGACAATGGTTTGGCAGTGATTTGAAGCAAGTTTTATAAAGGACAGTTAAGCAGCCTTGGTTAAAAGCTACAAACTTTGTCTTCTGCACTCAAGGCAATCCACAGGGCCCATATCAGTGTGATGTGTAATCTTCTATTTGTTGTTCATGTTCAGCAGTGAATTCTCAGGTTGGTGCAGCAAGTTTTTATGGTCACTCTGCATTCCAAATGTAGCGCCACCAAGTCAACATTTGGAAGAAACCACTAACCTTTGCCTTGCTTTCTGGAACTGCAGTAATCACAGCCTGTGCATGGTGCCAAAAGCAGCAGGTTGGAGATTCTAGGTTAGAAACTGTTAGTTCATGGAAATGGTTAAAGTGCAGTTTAATGCTGCTGGTGCTGCTGCTAAGCAGGAATGTGATCATGCATGTCAAGCACGGATCTGCTGAGCATTGAAATCTGATAAGTGTATCAAGAATGGATCACTTCTGAACTTAATCTTCCTTCATGAAATGCTTGCAATTGAAACTGGAGATTCCATATTTCATTACAGGGCTACAGAAATAATGCAGGTGGAAACAGTCTTCATTATATCTGTTCTGTGGGTACTCTGGCTTAGGCAGTGGAGCTGTCCTTGATAGTTTACCTGGGGAAAACACAGAAGGAATAAATGTTATTTTGGTTCAGTAAATGCCACCTTACCTTAAATGGTTTATATGAACAATATCTTGATGCCTGGGAAAAATTCAGGTTTGACAGGGCCGGCAGGTAGAAGGTGAGTCAGGAGATGACATTTTTGAGGTTTGTTTTAAATTAGGGTATGCAGAAGTGGTAGTCCTGTATCACAGCAGGCAGGAAGAGGTAAAGTCACCCCTCCTGTGTTAGGAAATCCTCCAGGTGTGAAATGAAGCTTGAAGGATGCCAACATTTTCAGTGTTTAGAAAGAAAAACCCTCCCAGTAACTGAGTACAGGGACCAACAACATCAGAAGTATATCACAGAGGTATTATCTTATGATGATTTCTGGCTTCCTTTTGCAAGAAAAGTCAGAACCATAATACCAGTAGCTCATCTGCTTGGGGCTATGATTTCATTATATTAATTTTCTCTTAGTAGCTTAATGGGAATGTTTCCTAAAAGTCAGCAGAATCACACGGATTGTTACTCTTAGGTTATCAAGTTCTGAAGTGTTTGAGAAGTGAAAAAAACCAACGCATAAAACCAGGATAAAGATGCATGCATTTATTTGGCTAATAGAATGAGTGACAAGCTAAAGGTAGAGCTGAGGTTTGTATAACAATGTGCCTCAAATCTATTTTGAAATGTTGTTGTTCTAATAGAGTTTATCCTAAATGTCAAAATTGAGCAATCAGATGCATCAGGTTCCTCAAAATATGGTTTTAGTGGCATTATCTAAGAGGTGGCTGTACCTAAGCAGTCACTTTCCAGAGAGCAGTAGCTGTAAATGAGCTGTTCTAGTGGGCTACTTTCTGGATCATCAAGGCTACTTCACCCAATTCAAGGGTTTTCTCCAGTGCAATGGTGGTTTTGTTGTTATCAGTGTGAAAGTGTGGAGTTTGCTTCTGGTCTTTAAGTTGTGTATGTGGGGAAAAAAAAATAAGGCTGTTTACACAGTGCCAGATTCTATTATTTCTTCTTAAACAGCTGTACCTTCTCCTCCTAAAGCAGTTTATGCTGCCTTTTGCCTTCTGTCACTATACTGGCTGTCAGCCTTCTCATCATTGATTGGCTTCTGTAATTATTCATAAGAAAATATATTTTCCTCTTGTCAGCTGCAAGCTCATATGTCTTAGATTTGTGTATTATTAAAGGAAACCATGATTGTGCTTTCAAACTGCAACACATGTCTATGAGGGCAGTCTGTAGCCACCAGTGTCACCATTGGGATTCAGATCACAAATACCAGGGTTTTTGCATCACTGCAGCAAGTTCATGGCTGACATCACACGGCTGCAAAGGGGCTGTTCTGGAGCCATGTTACAGCATGGGTGGGAGCCCGCAGCTGACAGTGTCACAATCTCTCTTACATCAGTGCTGCCAGTGGGTGTTGTGGTGGTTGCAGACATTTGGTTTTGAATAGACAGCCAAAATCTGTGCTTTGCTGGTTTAAATTTAAAAAAAATAAAAATTCAAAGTGTGTGGGGAACACACGCAGGTCTCTGATGACAAAAAGCAGATTTTTATTAACAAAATTTTGTATCAAAGCCCAGTCTAGAGTGTCTGCCTTTGTCTTAGTTAATTGGAATGAGGGGATTAGTGGACTGATCCCATCAGCATCTCATAATGAGCTGGAGTTCACCAGCACCCAGCTGGTCTGAGTGCCAGCAACAGTAGAGCTGCAGCTCCCTCTCTTTGTAGTGTAGGTAGTGGGTACCCCATATGTTGAACAGTGCATCTTTGTCCATCACTGATTGTCCTTTGGAGACAAAATTTGTATTACAGCTGGAGTTAAAAATGGGTGAACACAGACCTGCTAATGTTTGATGTGAGAGGAATGTTCGTCTTTGAGCAGGAGGAGTTTGTATTTAATGCCAAATTATGCAATTTGAAGCACAGTGTATCTCTAGTCACATTTAACATTGGATTTGCTGGCTTTCTCCAGAGAATCCTTATTAAGATGGAAAAGGTCAGTGGTCTGACTCTGCTCTGAGATTTCATTTTGTATCTGTACTGTTGGCTTTTTTATCTTTCAAAAGAGCTTAGTTCCAAAGAATGCTTCCCCTTTGCCAAAATTCCACATGATCTTGCCTTCAAGGAAACACATCCATTTTTAGTAAACTAGGAGAGCCTTTATTTAAAAAGAAGATTTCTGGTAACAGTGATTTTAACCCATGAAATGTGGGCACAAATGAGTTAATCCTAGTTCCAATTATAACAGCTATATTTCACTCATATGATTATTCATAGTGAAATTCAGTATTTGTGCTTTTACGGGGGAATTAGTAATTTGTTTTTTCCATTTTAAGGTATGAGAAGCAGCAAGGGTGTTTACCTACATAAGAAAATAACCTGTATTGCATTGATTACTTCTTGCTTGTTAAAAAATAAATAATACCTCATTACAACATCTGTTATTTTCTCCAAGAAGTAGAAATCTTTGCAAAAATTTTAGTTTACACAATAATTTGTACTATAATACCTTTCTGTTTTCAGGTTGTTGAAGTTATTTCATGTATACAGTAGCAGAAGAATATGACCAAAACAAGTCTTAATTGGCAGGATATTAGTTGGGTATTTTAAATAAAATACCGTAGTTCTTTCCTTTGCCTCACTTACACTTTCTCTTTTGAGAAAAACACCAGCTAGTGCTGTGTTGCTGAGCAGCAAATATGTGACTATATAACCACTCACTGGAATGCTTTTGTTATCTTCTCATTTTTTGAGAGGCTGTGCCTCTCCTTCAGGTGTTTTGAGGAACGTGATGGGGGAGAGGATGGAATTGCTGAATTGTTTCATGCAGTGACTGCTGTACTCTGCCCTATTTCTGGTCACATTTAGGGTCTACTTGGCAGAGGATTCCAGAGAAATTGAACAAAATAAAAGATGTCATTGAATCTTAGGGGTGCTGTGTTCTGGACTTTGGGAAATTTAAATACTTATTCAAGGTTTAGGAGGGACAAAGCAAGGATTACAAATAACCAAAAGCAGTTCTTGAATTTGCAGATTCAGAATTCACACAGTATTTTATCATATGTTGTTTCTGTCTAATTCTCAACTCAGTTCTCAACTCTTGTTTTAGCTTCCTTGTTCTTTTCCTACTGCTTGCCTGTTTTTATGGTCCTGGCCAGCCCTCCCTCTTGACTCCATTTGGCCACATGAAATCACAGGTGCTCTGTATAAGACAGCATTCTCATGGCCATCATGAGTCAAAATGCTCTAAACTTTTTAATCAAACT